GCAAGGTAGCAGGATATAAAATCAACATAGAAAAATCATTAGCATTTCTATACACTAACAATGAGCAAATGGAAAAAGAATGTATGAAAACAATTCCATTTACAATAGCCTCAAAAAAAATCAAATACCTAGGTGTAAACCTAACAAAAGATGTGAAAGACCTACAAGGAAAACTATACACTTCTGAAGAAAGAGATTGAGAAGACTATAGAAAGTGGAGAGATCTCCCATGCTCATGGATTGGTAGAATCAACATAGTAAAAATGTCTATACTCCCAAAGTAATCTACATGTTTAATGCAATTCCCATCAAAATTCAATGACATTCATCAAAGAGATTGAAATCTACTGTTAAATTTATATGGAAACACAAGAGGCCACGAATAGCCAAGGCAATACTCAGTCAAAAGAACAATGCAGGAGGTATCACAATACCTGACTTCAAACTATATTACAAAGCAGTAGCAATAAAGACAGCATGGTACTGGCACAAAAACAGACATGAAGACCAGTGGAACAGAATAGAGGATCCAGATATGAAGCCACACAACTATAAGCAACTTATCTTTGACAAAGGAGCTAAAAATATACGATGGAGAAATAGCAGCCTCTTCAACAAAAACTGCTGGGAAAACTGGTTAGCAGTCTGCAAAAAACTGAAACTAGATCCATGTATATCACCCTATACCAAGATTAACTCAAAATGGATCAAGGATCTTAATATCAGACCCCAAACTCTTAAGTTGATACAAGAAAGAGTAGGAAATACTCTGGAGTTAGTAGGTATAGGTAAGAACTTTCTCAATGAAACCCCAGCAGCACAGCAACTAAGAGATAGCATAGATAAATGGGACCTCATAAAACTAAAAAGCTTCTGTTCATCAAAAGAAATGGTCTCTAAACTGAAGAGAACACCCACAGAGTGGGAGAAAATATTTGCCAACTTACATCAGACAAAGGACTGATAACCAGAATATACAGGGAACTTAAAAAACTAAATTCTCCCAAAACTAATGAACCAATAAAGAAATGGGCAGTGAACTAAACAGAACTTTCTCAAAAGAAGAAATTCAAATGGCCAGAAAACACATGAAAAAATGCTCACCATCTCTAGCAATAAAGGAAATGCAAATTAAAACCACACTAAGATTCCACCTCACCCCTGTTAGAATAGCCATCATCAGCAACACCACCAACAACAGGTGTTGGCGAGGATGCGGGGAAAAAGGAACCCTCTTACACTGTTGGTGGGAATGTAGACTAGTACAACCACTCTGGAAAAAAATTTGGAGGCTACTTAAAAAGCTGGACATCGATCTACCATTTGATCCAGCAATACCACTCTTGGGGATATACCCAAAAGACTGTTACTCCAGAGGCACCTGCACACCATGTTTATTGCGGCACTATTCACAATAGCCAAGTTATGGAAACAGCCAAGATGCCCCAGCACTGACGAATGGATTAAGAAAATGTGGTATCTATACACAATGGAATTTTATGCAGCCATGAAGAAGAACGAAATGTTATCATTCGCTGGTAAATGGATGGAATTGGAGAACATCATTCTGAGTGAGGTTAGCCTGGCCAAAAGACCAAAAATCGTATGTTCTCCCTCATATGTGGACATTAGATCAAGGGCAAACACAACAAGGGGATTGGACTATGAGCACATGATAAAAGCGAGAGCACACAAGGGAGGGGTGAGGATAGGTAAGACACCTAAAAAACTAGCTAGCATTTGTTGCCCTTAACGCAGAGAAACTAAAGCAGATACCTTAAAGCAACTGAGGCCAATAGGAAAAGGGGACCAGGAACTAGAGAAAAGGTTAGATCAAAAAGAATTAACCTAGAAGGTAACACCCACGCACAGGAAATCAATGTGAGTCAATGCCCTGTATAGCTATCCTTATCTCAACCAGCAAAACCCTTGTTCCTTCCTATTATTGCTTATACTCTCTCTACAACAAAATTAGAGATAAGGGCAAAATAGTTTCTGCTGGGTATTGAGGGGGGGAGGGGAGGGGTGGAGTGGGTGGTAAGGGAGGGGGTGGGGCAGGGGGAGAAATGAACCAAGCCTTGTATGCACATATGAATAATAAAAGAAAAATGAAAAAAAAAAAAAAGAGCCACAGATAGATGTGTCCCCGTATTCCAGAGAGAAATTTTAGCCATCGGACGTGGGCTCTTTGTAAGGAGGTGTTCAGAGACGAGGCTGGGTAGCTGCTGAGATATTGCAAGAAGACAGACTAACATTGGCTGGAACTGTTCTGTGCCATTCCAGCCAAAATGGCTCCTGAGTCTTCTCCTGTTCTACATTCTGACAGAGGTGGAAAAAGAGGTGAGATGTGAAGAGAGTCCTTCTACAACATAGTGAGCTTGCAGGAGAACCAGTGAAGACCACGCAGATGAAAATGAAAGGGGATCAAGCCCAAACCAGGTGCCTTGTTAAGGTACATACCACATTCCAGGTGCCATGGCAACTTTTTCTATACCATCCAACTGGTGAAAAGTCATTATTGCTCATTCAAATTTTATAGAGCAGAGAGTCAATTTTCAAGAGATTAACATAAAACTTTCCCCACAGATAAGTCCAACCCAGGGGAAGTCACACTGGACTCCAAACCCACACTGGCTGCTCCAAGGTCCCCATGGTCCTTCCATGAAGCCTTGCTGTCAGGTCTGCAAAGATGTTAAGCAACCCCTGAGAAATGGTTTATTTGGACACCTATCTGCCTAACTGGCTTGGGGAAAGGCTGTAGGAATAAGGCCCATGCATTTTTAATACTGATGCGTCACAGCCTGTTTTCACAGTTTTTGGTTGAATCATATAGTTTATGCAAGACGCCAAGACAATGCTCAACTCATTATTCCTGATTCTCCAATCTTGAATTCTTTTTTCACTTTTCGGCTTGTAACAGATTTAAACTGTAAGACTTTCTAGAGGTCGTACGCGGTGCATTTCCCCCTTTTTTGCAATTAAATTTCTTTCAAACTGAAAAGCTTTAAGGGTTGTCACCCTTCACAGCACGATGGTTAAGAAAAAATGTTTGAAGGGCCCAGGGAAAATATAATGCTTCCCAGTGACTTGCTGATGTCAGTGACTCCTGAATGATTTCATCGATTGCTTTAGGACAAGCGGTCTCTGCCTCAGGGAGGCACTTGTCTTCGAGAGGTAAGATAAAAAACTAGCCATGGAGAACCAGTAATGCCCTCTCTTCCCCTGGTTGACCAGCAATTGCCTTATGGCAGTGTTGTGTGTCAGGAGTCCCTGAGGTGGTGGTGGACGGGAGGGTCCATGCCCTTTGAGCAAAATGAAGAGAAAACACTTGTCTAAATGAATGCTGTTGCTGTTCCTTCATCTCTCTGAGCCTCAACCCATCTTTGACATCCAGGAAAGTATCCAATGTTTCTACTTACACGCAGGAGGCAAAAGGCTCAGCAGGCGATGTGGAACGGCATTCCTGCTCAGGAACCACCACAGCTAGAGGTAAATAAACCTCAAGAACAATCGTGTCATGTGTCCCAAACTGAGGGGTAGGGTGGGGTGGGTTAGAGAAAAACAAAAAAAATCCCTAAAGGGCTGGAGGCGTGGCTCAAGTGGTAGAGTACTTTCCCAATAAGCACAAGGTCCGTGAGTTCAAACCCCGTTGGCCAAGAAAACAAAACAAAACACCTAAGAGTGATTTCAAGGAAAACTCAAGTTAATTTTCAATACATACAAAGCACAGTGCTGGCAGGGCCTGGTGGTAAAAGGGAGCCAGTACTCATGGGGCAGAGGTAGACACAAATTATCACAAGGAGGACATTCAAGGCAGGGAGGAAAATGGTGGCTGCCCATCTAGGCCGGATGGGGCTTAGGAACACTTCCCCTCTGCAGTGATGAATAGCTTTGGTGAGGTTATTCTTGCCCCAGAGTAAATGGTCACAAGGTTCGAAGGTCCCAGTGACCCATTCAATTTCTTAATTACTAGTTCCCACAGGAAAGGTTTGGACTGGTGATCCACCTGTTTTTCCCAAAATGAATTCCTAAGCTAAAATGTTTTTTTTTAGGCAAAGATAAGACACCTACCTCTTACATTTAACGTGGTCTGGCTTGATTTTTTTCAGAACACCGCATAATTTAAGAGCTTCTCGCAAGCTCTTCCCTTGACTGAATAGGAACCTGCAAATACTCATTGAAGAATTCAGCGTCTTCTAATTCATTTCCCCATCTGGCAGCCAAGATGTGGCCCTGGGTCTAATGCACTCCTCAAACACCTGGAATTGGATGGGACCATCATGCCACATTCCATTCTTCACCATCCGCTCTGACAGTCAGCCAGCCACTCCTGCTCTCCTGCTTGGTGGCCTTTATTTCTTATCTCAAAGTGCAAGGGAGGTGTTACTTATAGACATCCGGCTTACCTACAATGCA